TTTTAATGCAATAAAATAACTTTCATGCTTCATACAAACAAAATAATTTTAAAAATTCAAAAATTATTTGGGACATTAGGTTTGTTTATAGTTGCTACAACTGGTAATGTATCAGCTGTGTGGATAAAAAGTGGTATCATATCAGCAAGAGAATTCAGGCTCTATTTGCCCAACATATAATAGAAAACCTATGACCCCTAAGGATTTTGTTTTCAATAATGAGCAAAACTCTTTATTTTTATTTGGCATCAAAGACTTGTTTCATATAGTGTGTAGTGAAAATAAAAGTACTTATCTAAAAATAAACCATCAAATATTTTTATCTGAAATAATATAACTTGCCAAGAAGTGCCCTTTAGAAATAATTATAATTATAATTTTCATATTGGATGTTTATATCTAAAATCTGGCTCCTAGCAATGAGGACTTAAGCCTTGGGGATTAGTACCTTAAACCCTCATGGAAGAGTAGCACATCCCCAGAACTTGAGCTACTACAGCTAAATGGAGACCTTGACTGCTTTCATTCCAGATGAGAGAGTTCCCCTCTTAGCTGGTCAGAGCCTAGCAGTATATTTAGGTGAACCTTCTATGAATACATCTTTTAAAAATCTGAAAACTTTGACTCTATCATAATTTGAAGTTGACTATTAGCTGATATTTCATATAGTCATTTGTCCCAGAGTTGTTGTTTTTTCCCCCCTCTTAAGAAACTTGTTTAATTTGATAAATACTTTATGGTACTATAGAGTTTGAGGACTCCAGTTTTAGAACTCAGGATATTGATAATTACTAAGACTTGGCAATAATACAATTTTTAATTTATAGGGATTAACATTTTTAATAACATGAATAAAATCTAAAAAAGTAATAGAAAAGGTAACACAGCTGAAACATGGATTTTTAAAGCCATTACCTATTATAATGTAATTAAGTACTGTAGTAAAGTTCTTCAAAATACTGTTGCATATCTACAACACACAAGAAACTGTGTTGGTACTGTATAACCACTATAAAAATTATAGACAATTTACTTTCACTAAGAATATAAATTTTTCAGATAATCAAGAGTCTTAAATTATTTCCTTTATAAAATTTAATAGGTATAAATGAAATTACATAACTGAATGCATACTAAAGAAATGTTACAGTTCACAGTGAAGATGGATAACTAAGTACAGTTTGCACAACTTAGTATTGTAGACAAGCTGCTAAATTCTCTGTGTAAATAAGTCCTTTAAAACATAAGGAAATATATTCTTTTTTACCCTCCAGTCTAATTCCAAGTTCTAAATAACAATTATTTTATGCTTCCTTCTGTTCTCTTTTAAAAATTGCATTTTTGTTCTTATATGTAGCAAAGATAAAGAAAATCGTCATAAAATTTATATTCAAGATGCCCCAAACTCTATGGTTTGAATAAGGCTTACCCCTTCTGAAATTCATACTAAAGTTTAATCCCAGGTATGAGGAATTAAAAGGTGAATACTTAATCTCACAATCTCACTACAGTATTTAGAGTCCCCATGAAGCACACCCCTTATCCCTTACACATGATGCCCTGTAGCTCTCTGCTGGTAAGAAGGCTATCACCAGATACAGGTCCTTGACCTTGACCTAGAACTGGGATCCAAAATAAACTGTCTCCTTTCTTAATAATTTAGCCAGTCTTTAACACTGTGTTATTAGCAACAGAAAATGAATTAATGTAGTGACAAACATCCTTTCCCCAGAAAATGAAGGGAGAAATATATGCTAACTTACTAAGGTTAAAAAAAGCAAGAAGGAAGCCATGAGAAAGAAATGCCATCTAGGCACTTATAAGGACAGGGATTTTGTGTCCTAAATATCCTGGGAGCTATTTATTAGGTTAAATGATTTTATCTAGCAGAGAATGAGTGGGGAAGAGTATGTTCTTACTGTAGGAGTTCAACTGATATACTTTTAATTGCCTGCTAAAATTACACCTGCAAATAGCCCTAAAATAACTTCTTCCCTGAGGGAATAACCAATTTTATCTGACAGAAATAAGAAGGGCCTAAGATAATGCCAGGAATATATTTGGAATTAAAAATGTAATATCCCATTTCTAGAACCACAGAATCCCAACTACCCACACTATTTCAGAATTTGGAGTTCTTGCTGATTTCTCTTTCAGAAATAAAACTCTTAAAAGTAAAAAGGATCCTGCAGGGATGGAGGGACAAGATATATATATATATATATACATATATATATATATGTATATATATATATCAATCATGAATGGGAAAAACATAACAAATATTCTAATTTTAAAATAATAACTTTTCTTATGCTGTGAAAATAAACTGTGTAGAAGTAGCCTATTTGTATGCTTAATACTAAAGAAAAGATTAGTACTGATCAAACATCATATGTAAATGGAAAGACTACAAATAGTATCAAGGATAAAAACTCAAAAATATTACAAGAGAAAATAGATCCAAAGCTTAGAAGAGGTAGCCCAGCTATTAATATGAGAAAAAAATAAACCACAAAATATAAGAGTGTCCAATCCAAGGATTAGTAAACAATGTTCATTTAATGATTCAATCTAAGGCAAACATAATTTAGATTTTGTTTTGAGAATCATCTTTTAGTTTTTTGACATTAAAAACTATGCATTTGGACATATTATAAATAAGGTATAGTAGTTTATTTCTATACCACAATTAATTTTAAAAAATGAAAATATGAGTATGTGTATATATGCATATGTGTATACATACACAGGTATGTGTGTGTATGTGTGTGTATATATTTATTTATTCTAGCTCCAAATTGGAAAAATTTTCACAACAATTTAGGGATACTTTCATTACTTTTAGCACTTTATAATACCTGTACTTGCTAATAACTTTTAATTTCCTCACTTATTCTCTTATGTCTTATTATTTCTGCTGTGGAAAAATCTCTCTCCAAAATGCCATTTTAATTTAATTTTATTTTTTTTTTTAAAGAGAGAGTGAGAGAGGAGAGAGAGAGAGAGAATTTTTAATATTTATTTTTTAGTTCTCGGCGGACACAACATCTTTGTTTGTACGTGGTGCTGAGGATCGAACCCGGGCCGCACGCATGCCAGGCGAGCGCACTACCGCTTGAGCCACATCCCCAGCCCCTCATTTTAATTTTAAAATAAATACTTTTCAAATAACTATTCAAAATTACACTATAGTTTATTAAAAACAATAATAACACATTTTATGTGCTGTGTGAGAAGCACTACTTAGTTTTTAATGATTTAACATACTTAGTCCACACAGAGTCTGTAACTATTCTCTAATATTCTTGACATTTCTTCTCCTGAGGTTAATTTGTAGATATGATGAGTTTTAGCTAATGGAAGCTGATTGAATTGATCACTGTCCTTTTAAGTGGCATGGTTAAATGTAAGTTGTGCATACCCTGTTGTATTTTTCCCTTTCTCACACCAGAGTCTATTAGCTTAAAACAAAAACAAAACAACAGGTGTCATTGAAGTAACATGACAACACATCTGAAGCAGTCTAAATTTGAGTCTTCTCAGACTGTACAGGCTGAACTCAACCCCATCAGATGTAACACAAGCAAAAAATAAACTTCTTATTATATACTGAAACACATTGACTTATGGTTTCTTTGTTATAGCATAACATATATTTTCCTATGGGGTAGATATAATTATTAAAATAATTTTGTACATGAGGAAACTAAGACACAGTAAAGTTAAAATAACCTGCACATGACCAGTTAATATAGTAGCAGAACTAGACTGCCCCTGAGCATCAACTTTCTCTTTTAAGAAAACTTCAAAGTGAAGAATATGCAATCATCTTGATTTGATCATTACTCAAAGTACACATGAATTAAAACACAATATTGTAACTCATAAATATGTAAAATTATTCTACGTTGTTCAGATATGAGATGTCCCCCTAAAACTACTGTATTAATGCAGGAATGTTTGGAGATGAAATGATTGGACTATGAGAGCTGTAAACTGATTAGTATGTCTACTTTGAATGGATTGAGTGGCAACTCTAGGTAAGCAAGGTGTGGTTAAAGAATGTGGGTCACTGAGGGCCTGCCCTGGAAGGCTTCTTCTTCCCAGTGGCCTCTTTCCCCATCCTTCTGTTTTTTGGTTACCATGAGTGAAGCAGTCCCCCTTCAACAAAGCCTTCTGTAATGGTTCCACCTCAACTTGGATCCACAGAAATGGAGTTGGCCTCCCCTACTAACACCTCTGAAATCATGAGCCAAAATAACCTTTTTCTCCTCTAAATAGTTTTTGCCAGATGTTTTGGTCACAGTGATGAGATATGTGTTAGCTTCTTAGCTAACACATATGTCAATCAAAAAACTTTTAAAATACAAAATATACAAAAAAACAAAATAAAACAAATTACAGTTAGGATATAATTAAAGTAGGAAGCTTAGTGATTAAAATGCCATTTTGTCATCTAAACAAATGTCTTTTCTATAAATGCAAAACCTAAGACAATTATATCACACTAAATTTGTCACATACTCAATGGTTTAGGTCATAATTATATTTTCAAATTTTCATTAATTCATACATATCCAAGAAAATTATTTTAGGCTGAAGATTTTTTAAAAATAATTTTATAAAACTTTTCAAAAATAAATTATTTTAAAAATTATTTTTAAAATTAACTTCCCACTAACAATTCCTATTTTAGGACAATTTTCTTCAAACTGTGTTTTCTGAAATCATAATAAAAGATGCTCAGTGGATACAAAAATGCTTCTTTAAGCCAGGTGCAGTGACACATACGTATAATCTCAGTGACAAGGGAAGATGAGGCAGGAGGATCGCGAGTTCAAAGCAAGCCTCATCAACTTAGCAAGGCACTAAGCAATTCAGTGCGACCCTATATCTAAATAAAATAGAAAAAAAAAATGACTGCAGATGTGGCTCAGTGGTTAAGTGGCCCTGAGTTCAATCCCTGGTACCAAAAAAAAAAAAAAATCCTTCTTTACCTCCAGTTGATTTCTTGAAGAAGTGGATTTCCAGTGATAGAGAGTTCACGGAGAGAACAGCATGCATCAAACCATTTTATAGCACTTGTAAGATCTATGGAAAAAATCATTATAAAAGGTATCAAAGATAAAGAAAAGAGTTAAAAGATAATGTCCATTTTATTTATTGGTTACCCATTAAAGAAAAGCATTATTTTTTCTATCTTCTGCAGAATACTATATATTTTCTAAAGGAGACTATATTAATTACACAGATATCTATAGAATATTTTTTTTTATTTAGGAGCTACTTAAACTTATATATGTCTACTTTAAAATATAGGTCCTTAACTATCTCATAGGCTAGAGAAAATGAGATAATGTGCAAAAGGGTTAGAACATTTTGTGCTAGATTGAAATCACAAAATATGAAGAAATTAAATCTAAAGTAACAGGATAGGTGGTAAAATTAAATTTAAACCTATATAGGTTCACATGGACATATTATATTTTTTAAAGTAAAAACAGGCATGGTGACACATGCTTGTATTGTAATCCCATCTACACAAGAGGCTTAGGTAGGAAGATTGCAAGTTTGAGGCCAGACTGGGCAACTTGTGAAGACCTTATCAAAAAAATAAAATTTTAAAACAGCTGGGGATACAGTTCAGTATATACATGAGGCCTTGGGTTTAATTCCCAGTCCTGGAAAAACCAAATGTGAAAATTGTATTTTTTTTAAAACAAAATCTAGCAAATCTAGGGTACACTCTATAGTAATGTATACCAAATTGCTTTCCAATAGAAAACAACCATAACACTGGGAAATATCTTTATCTCTATCATCTACCCATATCTAACTATCTATGAAGTACCTAATTAAAGTCTAACTCAGAGAAATGTGCTGTATGGAGGAGTATTACTACTTTCAAGTAGGAATGTAGAGCCCAAGCAGAGTCTGTTTTGCTACATTAAGGAGGCAAGTATTACAACCGAGGCTGGAATTTATTAGAAAAAGTACTGAGAAGCTGAATGTATGCAAGTTGGGATGTCTGTATGATGACTCCCCTTGTATCCTTGTAAAAGTGCTGAGTTACATAGGATAGACAAGAAATATTCTCCAAAATCCAGCAGAAATCCTCTGCTGCAGAAGTAAGAGCTAAAAGTTGATACTAAAGTCCATGCAGCAGTTGCAGCCATGCAAGCCTAAGACCAATTGGGCATTTCAGAGATCAGTGAAAATCTAGGGAGAATTGCACATTAAAAATGAAGGCCAGACCCTGGAGTAGGGGTACCTGTTGTAAGACAAAATGAAACTAAGCCTGTCAGAAATAATGAACACTAATTTAATTGCCTGTTAGAATAAAGCTTAACCCCATTTAAAGAAAGACTAGTCTATATTATCTGCAATGTTCAACATACAGTTGAAATTTACTAGAAATATAAAGAAATAGGAAAATATAAGCTATTGTTAATATAAAAGCAGTTAGTAGAAACTAAACCAGATATAAAGTCAATTTTGACAAAGACACCAAGGAAGTTACATGATGAAAACTGTATGTCTATATAAAAAGATGAACTCAATCCCTAGCTCACCACATACATAAATTGCACTTTAAGATGGATTATAGACTTAATGATAAAAACTAAAAGTACAAAGCTTCCAGAAGAAAGCATAAGAAATTATGTTTTTAATCTGGAGATAGAAAAATATTTATTACAATGGTTATAGAAAAATGACTATAAAAGAGTATACAAATTAGATTTTATCAAAATTAAAAATATCTTCTAATTTAAATAAAATTAATATGTAAAATAACATGGGAGAAAATATTACAAAGCTAATATTTGACAAAGAATTTCATCTAAAACAGATAAGGAATTTCCATAAATCAATAAGAAAAAGACAAATAACCAAAGTTTTAAAAAGGTGAGACACTTAATCATTCATAAGAAAAGATACAGAAGTCACTCATAAATATTTGTAAGAAAATTCAATATATTTCTTTATTAGGGAAATGCAAACTAAAACCACAAAGAGATAACACAGTGAAATACTAAACATATTTGGAAAGGAGTAATTGGAACTCATACATGCCCAGTGGAATGTAAAATTTTACAGCTACATTGGGAAAACAGTTTGCCAGTTTGTTTCAAGTCAAAACCACACCACTTTATTTTCCTGTACTCTTACACATTTACCCAAGACTACTGATTGAAAAAAAAAAACCCTACAAAAAGAGTTGTATAAAAGTTTCCATCGGAATCTATATTTCTACATTCATAGCAGAAATCTTATGTAATCAAAATATCAATCAAGAGGAGAATAGACAAATTGTTATATATTTATTTTTCAGCAGGAAAAAAAGAACAAAGGACAGAATAAACAAGATGGTGGAATATCACATGATTATTGAGCAAAGAAGCTTGGAGACAAGAGAAACCATACTGTTTGATTCCATTAAAATGAAGAAATAATTAACACGTGATGAGAAATTCAGACTGTGGTTGCCTTGGGGAGTGGACTGACTGGAAATGGGAATGGGTAAATTTTTTGAAAGGGATAAGTTAATTCAATTAATGATTCTTTAATAAGCCTTTGAGGGACATCTATATTTGGTAGGAATCAACAAATTAGGTTTTTTACTCATCTTTATTAGTCTATTTATTTCATAGGTAGGACATATAGGACTTTGAAATTGAAATGCAATGGTGATGCTTACCTAGGCCTACCAAAAAGATATGGTAGCAATATTATTTCAAAAGTGGAAAGAAACTCTCAATTAAATTATTTCAACATGTTTTATTGTACAGCTTTGTTGTTCACATATCATTAGCACATGTACTTAACTCCTTACCACATATTTGGAGCTAAAACTCAAAAGCTTATTTGTTTTAAAAAATTAAATATTATTCTAAACTTACCAGAAAGACAATTGTTGCTGACATCTAGCTTTTCCAAAGAAACAAAATGAAAAAGTGGTATAATTTTTGTCAAACTGAAAACAAAACATAAAATTCATTAAAAATTTTAAATGGTCATATTCTTGATATTATTGATGTAACTATATAACAATACACTTATTTAATAAAATTGTATAATTTACACTCAATTATGTATATAATTTTAATTCCAAAATACAATAACAACATTTAATAACAGTACTTATTAAAAATGTAGCAATCATAGGAGTCTAAGTAATCCTATTATGGATGATTTCTATTCATTTTTAAAGAGAAATTACCATGGAGAATTTCTACAAAGGAAGATTCTAATTCATTTGAAGAGAAAGTACAATAGAAGGGCCAAATTCAGTCACAAATATCATGGGCTTTGATGGGCATTTGCTATTCAATTTTAAATAAGTGGTTTTTGTCATTATTTTATCTTTGTATAAAGTCAATGTTTTATAGAAGTTACATTATTTTTTTTACACACTGGCTCAAACATGTAACCTAAACATTTAATGCACAAACATAAAAATATCACTTTTCAATATGATAACAGATTAGAGAAACTAATATGTTTTTAATTGAAAAGCATTGCTTTGTTTGTTAGATTGAAAGCATTATAAATGCTGTAAGTGTCCAAAACTATACTAGTTTTAATTCTAAATTAGAAATGTGCTTTGACTTAGGATGTAGTTCAGTTGGTAGAGTGTTTGCCTTGCATGCACAAGGCCCTGGGTTCAATCCCCAGCACCACCAAAAAAACAAAGAAAAAAAAACAGAAAAAATGTGCTTAATATATAAATACTAAGTCCATGGAAAAAAATGTTATTTTTTATATCCATAGAATGAATTTAAATTTAGCAGAAATATATTGACATTTAAAAAAATACGCTTATGAATTATGCATACTAAAATAGTAATATAATGAACTTTAAATCCTTCATTTAAGTGTTAACATTTTCTAAGTTATAATTGTCATTAAGAATCCATATTCCAGCAAAAAACATAAAATGATATTGAAAATGCATGATATTGAAAAAAAGCTACGAAGGGAAAAATAAGTTTAGTTTGATTTATATTTTCAACTGAGACCAGTCTACACTTACTCTGTAACACAATATCATATTATTATAGCTATTTGGAAAATTGAAATTATCTGTTTATCTGAATCTTTAAATGAGACAAAAGCCCCCTTGTATAAGATGATCTTATGAAAATTATGTTTTCTAAATTAATCCTTTTATAAAATTTGAAATTCCATCCTATTCAAAATAGCACAATTTTAAAAAGGTACTCAGTAATTTTCTTTCCTTTTCTTTCTTACTGTCCCTTCACTATCCCATCAGAATTCTTTACCTTTTTCTATAAACTCCCTATATGACATTGTTAAAGGCAATGACATTGTTAATAACAGCAACTATTACTCTGAGGTTAGAAGCCAACGAGTAACACTGTGACTTATGGGATCTTGTAGCCTCATGGGGACTAGCACAAGACTAGCCCTTGTATTGACCTTGACTCCTCTCTTGTACTATCCTGTTCTGCATTAGCAGAAAGAAAGAAGATACTACTGATGAAAAAATAGACTAAATAATGAGGCTAGGAGAAAATATAAATGTAGTCAATCCTAAATACAATATTACTATTCACAATTTACCTATGTGATACTATATCTTAAAAACAGTTTTCTGGGGAGAAAAAATCTAAATTACGAAAAAAAATCTGTGAGAATATATTGGTCATTAAATTTATACAAACACTTCATTATTTGTACACTCCATAATAGTAAAATGTACTGAAATTTCACATGGATTTGGAAGAAAGGAAGGGAGGGAGGAAGGAAGGAAGGAAGGAAGGAAAGAAAATGAAAAAAAGACAGGAGGAGAGAGGAGAGGTGAGAGGGGTGGAGTAGAGAGAAATAAAATGTTGGAAACATAATTATAGAATTTAAGTATTCATTTTATCACTTTTCCTACCTAAGCAATTTCTGAATCAATATTGTAAACACAAAATAATTATTCAAGTGGAAATATAAAAGTATTTATTAACAAGAAAACTGTGTTCTAAGTTTAATAAATTTCTGAAACTAAACTTTGTATTTCTACTGCAAGGATTTTGAAAACTTAATAGCTAATGACATATTAAATCCTTCAGAATATAATTTTTCTATTTTTTCAGAATATTCCATATTTCTTAATAACAAGTTATAAAATGACATATACATAAAATATTAAACTATATAATTATTTAGAATTTTAAAAAATCAATAAATATCATCGTTGCAAAAATCAAAGAAATATCTATGACCAAATATTTTTAACACTGAAGTTTTATCTTGTAAGAATCCATATTTAAAAAATCATGTTCTTTATTATCTTTCAGATTTTAATCATGAAAACTAGCTATTCATTCACCTTTATGACTATACATTAGGAAGGAAGAAACCTAATCATAGAATCCCTTTTTTCAAACCTCTAGAACTTTTCTTTTACTGACATTCTGTCTATTTTTTTTCCAAGAAAATTCAAACCAGAAAGACAAAGGACATTAGTGAAAACCTAATACCATTTGACCTTGTCACATTAGCCCTGGGCATTAAAAGATATAACTTTCAAAGACGACAAAAAGCAAAAAATTTGTACAATGAGCAGCCAATGGTAATAGTTTCCACTTTCTGCTCCTACTTAGAGTCCCATTGGAAGTAGAAAAGCTTATGAAGCCAGAGTCTTCTTAGTTAGAACTCCATGGAGTCAAACTTAAAACAGTCACATGTTGTAATGAAAATTTAAAACAGAAGTCAGGATGAAACAGGCATTTCAAACAATATGTACTAAGTATCATTCTTTATATGTATTCCATTTGTTGGGATACGAAAAGCATATGGATATATAATTTCTTCCTTGTGATGCAAATATTTATCAAGAACTAAAAGAATAATATACACAATCTAAAAACCATACCAACCACAAATATATATACATACATATATGTGTAATAATATATGTATATATATACACACACACTCATGTATATAACTATATGCATTTTATATATACATTTATAAAATTCTCAGGTTTGTAAAATGAATTTATAAACATTTTCTATTTGGATTATCATTAACATCTTATAAAAAACAGTTAAGGTTAGCATTTTAACCCCTTTCACATGAGAAAAAAGACAAGGATTAGGTGGTGAGTTGCTCAGTGTCAATTGACTGATAAGTTATAGATTCAAAATTCAACCCCAGATCTACTGACACTGAGTTTTATCAAAACTGATGTGGTTCTGAAAGAAGACAATGTACATATAAAAGCATAATGCAAGATGGATCTTTTCTACAATTAACAGTATTAATTTTGTTGTAAAAATCCTAAGTTTGAAGATGATTTTTTTACTGTGATATTAGGAAATAATTTTATTATCCTATATGTCCATTCCACCATTACATTTTCCTGGTGCCTTCAGGCCCATTATTTCATCATCTCAGAAATGGTAGGTAGTGAGAGACTCAGAAAGAACATATCCAAGTATGTAACAGTATTATTAAGAATATCAAAACACTCAACAACATAATTATGCTAATTTTTGCACAGATAAGCTTAAAATAAGAAGTTCTTTTGTCTCTAAGAGTTCGTTGAGGGCAAGAGCATATGTCACCTATTTTTATATCCTCCAAAATAACAAATCCTATCTAAATATCCAAATATTATAAGACTAGGCAAACAAAATTATAAGGAGGATAATTTGGATTAATTATCCCAATCATCATTATCAATTCTTAAAAATTTTAGTATTTTAGTTACACTCCTTTTATATCAGATTGATATGCACAAGTCATAAGAGAATAACAGCAAAAGTTTATCACACACTACTAGTTTTAAATTTTATAGAAAGAATGTTATATGATAATTTAAATTGTCCAAAGAAATTAAAGACACTGTTTTTTAAAAAAAGTATTTATTTATTTATTTTTTAGGTAGACACAATATCTTTATTTTATTTTATGTGGTGCTGAAGTTCTAACCCTTTGCCTCATGCATGCTTGGTAAGCGCTCTGCTGAGCCACAACCCTATTCCCTTAAAGGCATTATTTTTAATAAAAAGTTCTTCAATTAAATATTTTCATATCTCTCTAAATGTAATTTGCTGAGTGATTCACTGCATATGTCAAAATAAAGCTGATGATTTCATTTTAAAATTATGTTTCTTACCTGAAAAATATCATGTAAAGAAAGATCCAATGGGTGGGTGTGTGGATGGGCCAAGTTATTTACACTCTGTTATCTGTCAGAGCTAGTTTTTACACCCAATGTCCTTTAAAATCAAATCAACTTTCATATTTTATATATTATTAAAATAATTTGAGGGTATTTTAAATAAAGATTTGGTTTTCAACTGTCAAAGTTTAAAAGAAGAAGTCAAATAATTTAATACATACATGCTCAAAGGATGAAAAAAACTGTGCAAAAGTTAAGAAATAGTTTTATGTTTTTGAAAAAAAAAGGTCTAAATATAAAAATTAGGTTGTCCTTATTCACTTGTTTTCTAAGCACTGTATAACCCAAAGAGGTATTTTCTGTTAAAGGTTGTTCCTTTACTCCACTCCATGTGCCTTTGATGAACAAATTAATCATATTAGAGTGTACAAGCCTCAATGAAATATTAAGCAAAGGGAGAAGTACACATATTGTGCTCCTTCTTTGGTTTTAGACAGTTATTCTCTGCAAAGATCCAGATGTTTGGGGGTCTCAAATGAATTTTCTGAGGCAGATCCCCTTTTCAATTTAACATTAAGGTATTTCTTTAAGTGTTATTTTATCCCTAGGGATATCAAATTTAAATCTATCTTAACAGTTACAAAAGACATCCAAGTAGAGAGCAGATTAAAAATCATTCTTCCAGGACTTAATAAGTACCATTTGAGAGAATGAGACATCCTTCTGAATTAAATTAACTACCTCCTGTATTTTCCAATGACTATATTCTTGACAAATACAAACAAACCTGAGCTGAGATTTCTACAAGTGTGTCTGAGAAGAAAAAAAATTGAAGAAACTAAATTGACAAAATTCTACTAACATTCTAGGTTATGGCAATCTATCACTTTTTACATTTCTAGAAAATCATCTTTATATTTTATGTACTCATTTATTAAGATACACTCACATTGAATTGCTGGAGACACCCAACTTTCTAAGTTATTTATGAACAGCACACAATTATCTTAAGCAAGCATTGACTGAATTTATTGCTTTAGTAAAGTATGTGTTTACCTGTTTTGGGAGATAGTAAGATTTTGTAGTAAAGGCAGCCAATATGAAGAAAACCCTTCAAAAGTTGAAATGCTGTTATCATCCAAGTGTAATTCTCTTAGCAGAACATGATTCTCCAAAGATGGAAGCTATATTTAAATAAAGCTCATTAGTTTATATCAAGGAAGATACTGACTTGTCAGTTAACAAGATTTAAAAAACTTAGGATAGATTCATAAATTAAATCATAAAAGAAATTATGAGGCTTCTAGTATAAATAAAATTTCTATTAATTAACTGTTTAATTTTAATATTCATTTTAAAGGTATTTCATGACAACATATATGTATATTTCATAATATATAAATTTAGCCCTAGTTATAAGCCTAAATAAAAGTAGTTATGATTCATTACATTTTAGCATTATGATAACTTAATGTTAAATTATACTATAAGATTAAAACTATGTTGAGCATTTCTTGGTGAAAGTATGATGAAAGAGTTCAAAGTAAATTAGAAATCAAATGCAGCTGATGAGCATGAAAAAAATTTATTCAAAATTTCTTTTAAAATATGTGGTTGATATTTCTATTTAAAAAGTGTTGCATTAATGACAGAAACCAATTAATTTAAAGCAATTACCTCAGTTAGATTATTTCCCTGTAACTTCAATATTTGGAGCAATCCACAATTTTCAAGGCCTTCAACATCAGTAAGATGATTATAGGAGCAATCCAGGTATATAATGGTAGGGGTTTCACACAGACCTTTTGTGCTAATCAACTGGTTGTGGTCCACAATTAGTTGTTGAAGATTTTTTAAAGATTCTAAACCACCTGGAAGAAAATTCTTCTAAAATCACTTGTATCATACCTTCTTCCTAAGGGTTATTATTTAAACTGCCATCTAGGGAATGTGTTTTTGAATGACATAGTTATATATCAATTGAAAAATGAACAAAATAATTAAAAGCATATATTAGGCACTGAATGTTTATTTTCAAATAACAATGGAACCATTAAGAAAGCTAATCTGAAATAGAATTGTCTATTAACTCACTTAGAGGGAATTAATTTGTGAAGCTTTTCAAGTCACCTAACAAAAGAACAAGACATTAGGTTAAACCATGAGAAAAAATAAAGATTTTGGCAAAGGAAGCTGAAGAGAAATAGCAAACCAAGGGGGAAAATAATTGGGGCAGAAATAGAAAAAAAAAGGCAAACAGAATTCTGGATGAATGGAGAGGATTAGTAAGAATAAAAACAAAATAATACACACATTTCATTTATGGGATGTCTTTCTATTTTTATTTATATCAAATTATAAATAGTCAAGAGTGTCAGGCACAATTGGGAATGGAATAAGAAGTCACTGATTTGGCATTAAAGCAAGTGAAATCTTTTTCTGCTACAGCCATTGATAGGAAAATCAAAATGAAAGACACATTGCACTGAAGTGGAGAAAATGTGCTTAGACTACTCTTTAGACTTGTTAAGGATTTTTTCAAAGTCCTTAAAATGGCCTATAAAATTGTATGTGATGTGTGTTCTACTTTACTATGGTTCCCTTTTTCTCAATCCTTTTTGAAGTGCTGGCTTCCTTGCTGTCCATCAACTATGAAGCACATTTCCACATATGATTAGTGTGTGGCATGTTAATCTTATCAGCTAATATCAAATTTTAGATGATACCTGATTTTCAATTAACATACAGAAAAGCTGCAATTAATCCATTTAACTATCTGTGAGGGGAATAAATATAATTTCAAGCCTCAGAACAAGAAGGAACATTTGACCTAGCATCACTATTTCCATGAATGCATTATACAGTTAAAAACAAATATAAACTAGTACATAGAGATGTTCCTTGAAAGATTACTTACAAAAAAGACATGAAGTTAAATGTCCATCAATAGGGAATAGTTAAATATATTATGGAGTATATCATAAACAAATATGCATGTCTTTAGTATGTAGTAATACTGATATGGAAGGATGTCCATGATATATGCCTGCATGTAAACCTATATAAATGCAAACCTATATATGTACTTGAATATAAACCTTATATCTCTATAATTGTATTGCATAAGACAAAGTCTGAATTCTTTCATAATTCATTGTTCACCATAGTAACCCTTGGAAAATTAGAGAGAGAAGTGTGATCATATAGATAAAAATTTTACTAATTAAAACTGTGTACTGTCAGGGAAATGCTTTGGAAGCTACTGTCATATATATTGGAAATAAACTTTCTGCTTTCAAATTTAAACAAAGGCTTAGATTCCATACCAGCTGTAAGTATGCCTGCATTACTGTAGCCAAATATACTGCTATCCAATGAGATTGGGAAAAGGTCAAAAAGTCAAATGGGTATTTAGCATAGCAATCATAACAGCTTGAACCTTATAGAGTTACATTATCACATACAGGATAGTCAGAAAAGCAGGATGGATTTCATGGATCCTGCATCTCTAGCTAAACAAATACTTTATGACTTAAAGGGTTTTAATGCTGGAAATATGTTGAAACATTCTTCATGATATATTTTCGGAATGATATGTTTGCTGTGAATTATCTTTTGTGTCATAATAATAGGTTGCTGGACTCTCAGAAAAAAAGATCCAGGAACTTCAAGTAATTGCACACCACTTGCATTTAAAAAACTAATGAAAGGGGAGATTTCAGGATCCATGAATAAATTATGGGTTGTTTGAGCGATCTCAGGGCAGGGGTTGCTATTCTGAGAAGTCTTGGTGAAATCCAACCAATTCCAGACCGCTCAGTTTATTCTGACACTCTGCTCATTGGCTCAGATAGCCCTAGGTTCAAACACAGCAGCTTAGAAGCAGATGAGGTGGGTATAATCCACTAAGACCTAACAAAGTTGTTTTTCCATCTTCATCCTATTTTCCTCAGGAAGTTCTTCACACTGCATCCCATTGGTGTTCCTACCTATATAAAAGAAAACTTGAGGGTGGGGGTAATGCTAGAGGGCAATGCAGATGAAAGATAAGGCATGGAACAAGAAGATTTGGGATTGCCTTATAAAGAAGAGAATGAAGTGATTTATATTGATCACCCTATTCGCCACTATCCAGACTTGTTTGAACCTGAAAAAGTTTTCCCATGATGGAGAAAATGTTGCTGCTGCACAGTGCCATTTTGAGACTAAATCCACTCACAGGCATCTGCATGTGGCCCTCAGACACCAACTGGCCCATGTCCCCAGCTGCACAAAGCCATTGGTTATAGCTAAAGAAGCAAAGTATAGACTATATTACTGTGCTCAAGTGGAACAAGTCAACATGGCCTACCAAACTGATACCCTAAGACACATCTTCAAAAGAAAATCTTTTATTTCAAAAATTCATAAGGACAACAGATCCATCAGAAGTGTAAATATCAACATAGAAACAAATAATTTAAAAAATAGTAATGTGATTCCTCTCAACGAACACAGTAACTTTCTAGCAACAGAACCTAGAGAAAAGGAAATTGATGAAATGTTTGACAAAGAATTCAAAGTGATGGTTCTAAGAAAACTCAATGAGATATAATACAGATAAAAATTCAATAAAATTAGGAAGACAATTCATAATACAAATATGAAGTTCTAGAAAGAGATCATAAAAATGGAAATGTTAAAGCTAAAGAACAAAGTTAGTCAAGTAAAAATACAGTTCAACAGACTAGATCAAGTACAAGAAAGAATTTTCAAACTTGAAGACAAATATTTTGCAGGAGAGAGAGAGGGAAGAGGAGGAGTGGTGAAAGAGAAGGAAGAGGAAGAAGAAGAAGGAGAAGAAGAGGAGGTGGATGGTGATGGCAGCATCTGAGACTCATGGGATACCATTAAGTGAACAAATATTCAAATCAAGAGTGTTCAAAAAGAGGGAGAGAAAGGAAAATGTACAGAAAAGCCTACTTAACAAAATAATAACAGAAATCTTTCCAAATCTTGGAAAAGGCATAAATATCCAGATCTAGAAGGTCTAAAGGACCAAAAATGGATTTGGGCAAAAAAAGTCTTATCTGAAGCACAAACTGTTAAAAATCTATGACAAAGAATTCTAAACAGCAAGAGAAAAGCATCAAGTCACATTAGACTAACAACAGATTTGTAAGAAGAATACTTTACAGGCTAGGAGTGAATAAAGATGCCATCTTCAAAATCCTGAAATAAAGAAAAACTGCCAACCAAGAATATTTTGCACAATAAAGCTGTCCTTAAGACATGAAGGAGAAATGAAGTACTTCCAAAACAAGTAAAAACTTGGGGAATTCATCATCAGTTTGCTTTACAAAAAGCACTTAAGGGAATCCTATATTCAGAAGCAAAAGGAAGATAACTATCATGAAAAATAAACCAAGGTATAAAACCTAGTAGTTGAATAGAAACACAAAAGGAAAAAAAAAAAGCTATCAATACAGAATAGTTTCAGATCACAAAGAAAAATAGTAATAGAAGAAAAAAGGAAGAAAGGATTCACGAATCAACCTAAACATTTTTTTTGATGAGACTAAGACTTTACATATCAGCAATAACTTTGAATATAAATAAATTAAATTCCCCCAATTAAAAGATTTATATTGGCTGAATAGGTAAAAAAAAAGATTAGACTATATGCTGAATAATGTACAAGAAACTTGGAATGCCTGTAAAGACTCACATAATTGAAAATGAATGAATCAAAAAATATTCCATGCAAGTGGAAACCAAGAGTGAGAAGGTATTGCTATACTTCCACAAGGTAAAACAGATTTTAAGTTAAAATGTAAAATAGAAAAAAAAGGACACTATGTAATGATTGAGGATCAATTTAATAAGGTCATAAATATACATACACCCAATACCAGAGCACCCTATTATATAAAGCAAACATTATTAGATTTAAAGGAATGATCCACTCTAGTACAATAATAGTTGGAAAATTTAATACTTCATTGCAACAATGGACAAATCATTCACATGAAGTCAACAAATAAACATAAACTATACTATAGACCAAGTGGACTTAACTGATATTTACAGAACATTTCATCCAATAGTTGTGGAATGCATATTCTTCTCATTAGCACCAGGATCATTCTCCAAAACAAAGTTTATATTATGCCATAAAATACTAAACAAATCTTAAAAACTGAAATTATTTCCTTTAGCATTCTGGTCACAATAAAACAAAGGTAGAAATCAACAACAAGAGAAACTTTAGAAACTGCACAAATGCTCAAAAACTATGCATAATCGTCTAGAATAAATATACCAAAGAAATCAAATGAGAAATTTAAAATTTTTATTGGAAAAAATGAAAATGGAAACACAACTGACCAAAACCTATGGAATACAGCAAAAGAAACAATAAAAAGAAAAAATTGTATCAATAAGAACCTATGTTTTAAAAAAGTAGAAAAAAATGAAATATGCAATCTTATCAAGAAAATCAAGAACAAACCAAATCAAAATTCAGTAGAATGAGAAATATAGCAAAAATTAGAGGACAAAATAGAGACTAAAAAAATACAAAAGATTAATGAAAAAGAGTTTGGTTTTGGTTTTAAAACCAACACACACACACACACACACACACACCCCTGAAAAACTTTTAGCTAGATTAAGGGGGGGGGGGAAGAAGACCTAAATAAATAACATTTCAGATGGACAGAAGATATTACAACTGATGCTACAGAAAAACAAAGGAAAAACAAAGGATTATTATGAACAATTACATGATAACAAATTGAAAAACCTAGAATTAGATAAATTCATGGGCATATTTAACCTACCAAAATTGAACCATGAAGACAAAGAAAGTGTGAACAGTGTGAACAGACTA